AATTGGTCATCCTTTGGTGATCGAGAGCACTTGCCTCGATTCAATCAAGATTTTAGTGATGCCTCCACAAATGATCAAGATCGACAAGTTTACTGAGAAAAATTAATTTTAGCTTATGGCGAATTAAAGTGAGAGCTCTTCTAAAACAACAAGGAATTTGGACTCCCCTAGCTGGTGTGAAAGATCTGCAAATGGCTGACGCTGAGTTTAATCAACAAGATGAGAAAGCTCACAACACCATCTTGTTGTCCTTGGCCGATGAAGTGATTTACGAGGTCGTAGATGAGGAGACTGCCACATCTTTATGGATGAAACTTGAAAGTCTCTACATGACAATGTCTTTAACAAACAAGTTGTTAAAGCAAAGGTTATTTTCGCTGTGAATGAAGGAGAGGATGCCATTGAAGGAACATCTTGACGAGTTAAACTCCATTCTTATGGATTTAAAGAATGTTGAGGTCAAGGTTAAAGATGAAGATGCTGCCCTCATTTTATTGGTTTCTTTGCCACCCTCATACGAAAATTTTGTCAACTCATTTGTGGTTGGAAGGGACACAATTACTTTGGAAGAAGTTCGATCAAGTTTGCATTCATGAGAATTACGCCATAAAGCTTCCGGAAATGGAATTGAAAGTCAGTCTGTTGGCTTGTCAGTGGTAAATGAAGGTAGAGAAAAGGGTCGAGAGAAAGGTAAAGGCAAGTGGAAAGGAAGAAGTCGATCAAGATCGAAGGCTCGAGGATGGAAAGCAAGCCCGAAAGATGTATGCCATAGGTGTGGTGATCTTGGACATTGGAAAAATGAATGTCTAAAACGAAATGAGAAGGCATTCGCTACTGTTGGTAAAGATGATTCGGTTTCAGAGGCTGATCTGGTTCTTTCAGTAGTTGACTCTAAAGGCAGCAAGATGAGTGGATTCTTGACTCCGGGTATTCGTTCCACATGACACTGAATAAGGCCCAGTTTGATACTTATGAAAAGGTTGCAGCAAGAAGTGTTTTAATGAGGAACGACGTTCCGTGTAATGTTGCTGTTATAGGTTCGATAAGTATCAAAATGCACGACGGGGTAGTGAGAACTTTGGCTGATGTTCATCACGTACCTTATTTGAAAAAGAATTTGGTTGCTTTGGAAGCCTTAGATTCCAAAGGTTTCAAGTACAACTGTGAAAAAGGAGTACTTTAGGTCTCTAAAGGTGCATTAGTGGTGATGAAAGGAATCAAGAAAGGTACCTTGTATGCGCTTGAAGGCAACACGGTTGTTGGGTCAGCATCACCAGCCTTTAGTTCTGGTAAAAACGAGTCAGATTTGACACTCTTGTGGCACATGAGGCTAGGGCATGTTAGTGAGAAAGGCATGCCTATGCTCAACAAGCAAGGACTTCTTGGAGGTCATGAAGTTGCTGAACTAGGCTTTTTTGAGCATTGTATCATTGGAAAACAAAGGAGAGCGAGGTTGGGGTCTACTTTGGACTATCTACATGCTGATTGTTGGGGTCCTTCACAGGTTCCTTCTCTTGGTGGTGACCATTATTTCCTCTCAATTGTTGACGATTACTCTAGGATGACATGGGTGTTTATCATGAAACATAAGAGTTAGTCGTTTGAGAAGTTCAAAGAATGGAAGGTTCTCATTGAAAATCAAGTTGGGAAGAAGATGAAGAGGTTACGAACTAATAAGTTTGATTTTTCATATTTTATTTCCTTGGACTTGTGCTTTGCTGACTTTAGATTGATACAAAAACCACTTTTTGTCCAACCTCTCCGTTGTACTGCGCTCTCCAAGTGTGCCTGTTCCCCCCTTCTTCCTTACCATGGCAAGTCTGAAATGTTGATGTAGTATGTAGTAAGGATTAAATCAATTGACTATTCAACCTTTTCGGTTGGACCGTAGGTGCGATGATTTACTTCACGGGGGAGCTCTCTGGTTCCGGAATTGGAATGGAATAATATCGATTCAGACAGAAGAAAAGGAACGACCTTCAACAAAAGAGTACCTGTACTCGAAACCGACATAGGTGGGTAGGTAGAGAATACCTAGGGGCGCGAGACAACTCTCTCTAAGGAACTCGGCAAAATAGCATCTATTTAGCAGCACCTTAGGATGGCATAGCCTTAAAATTAAGGGCTTATCAGTGTATGGACAGCTATCTCTCGAGCACAGGTTTAGGTTCTCAAAATTCTCTCGATTCATCCCCTCATGAGGAAGTGATCCGATTCAAGATCATCGATAGGGAGTGCATTCATTGAATTGACAGGTGAAAGATGATTCGGTTTGGAATTTTGTTCGAATGAGTTTGACCAGTTTTGTAAAGATGAAGGGATTGCAAGGCACCGAACGGTTAGGCACACTCCATAGCAAAATGGAGTGTCCGAAAGGATGAATAGAACACTGCTAGAAAGGGTCAGATGTGTGCTGTCAGATGCAGGGCTGTCTAGAGGTTTTTGGGCTGAGGCGTTAAACACGGTTTGTTACTTGGTGAATTCAACAACAATTGGTTGTAAAACCCCTATTCAAATGTGGTCTGGTAAGCCAGCTGATTACACGAATTTACAGGTGTTTGGTTGTCCTTCGTACTACCATGTGAGTGAAGGAAAGTTGGAACCAAGGTCAAAGAAGGGGTTGTTTATGGATATGGTGCTCGAGTAAAAGGGTATAGAATCTGGTCACTTGATGAAAGAGGTGATTCTCAGCCGTGATGTAATATTTGATGAAGGAAGTATGTTGTGTGACGTATGATATTCATCTACTTCATCTTCTTCAAAAGACTCAGAGGAGAGGATCTCTGAACAGGTGGAGCATGAGTTAAATGATTCTAATAAGGGTGAGAATGTTTCTGGACAGTGCAGTAACATAACTCAAGCCTATGGAATTTCGGTCCATAGCGTTAGACAAGCCTTGAAGACAAGTTGGTAGGCCGATTCGGTATGGTTTTGATGACGTGGTGGCCTATGCGTTACAAGTTGTTGAAGAATTGGAGTTCTTTGAGCCGCCTACTTATAGAGAAGCAATCACAACAAAGGAGGCTGATATAGCAGCCATGAGTGAAGAAATGGAATCCCTTCACAAAAATAGGACTTGGGAATTGGTGAAATTATCTCAAGGCAGAAAAGTTGTGTCCTGTAAGTGGATTTTTAAGTGCAAAGAAGGGTTGCCAGGAGCTGAAAATGTGAGATTTAAGGCTCATTTGGTGGCTAGAGGTTATAATCAAGAGCAAGGGGTTGATTATAATGAAATCTTCTCACTGGTGGTGCGTCATACATCCATTCGAGTGCTGTTGGCACTAGTAGCACAACAAAATTTGGAGTTGGAACAGTTGGATGTTATGACAACGTTCTTGCATGGAGATCTTGAAGAAGAAATTTATATGCGTCAACCGGAGGATTTGTGGTGTAAGCAATTTGATAGCTTTATGGTGAAACATGGTTTTAATCGAAGCCCTTATAATTGCTGCATATATCATAAGAAAGTAGATGATGGTTCGCATGTGTATTTGCTACTTTATGTGGATGATATGTTGGTGGCCGCTCGAGATATGGCTGAAATTAAGAGGTTGAAACAACTTCTTAATTCTGAGTTTGATATGAAAAATTGGGGGGTGCTCAAAAGATACTTGGGATGGACATAGTTCGAGACAGATCTAGACATAAACTTTTCTTGTCACAGAAAAGTTACATTTTAAAGATATTTTCTCGGTTTGGTATGGCTTGGGCAAAGCCTTTGAGCACTCCATCATCTGCAAATCAGGTTGTCGGTGGCTTTGGCTCCTCAAATAGAAGCTGCAGTGGAGTATATGAGCAGAGTTCCTTATTCAAGTGCTGTGGGAAGTCTTATGTATGTTATGGTCTGTACTAGACCTAACATAGCTCATGCCATTAGTGTCGTTTCGCGCTATATGGCTTGTCCAGGAAAGGAACATTGGGCTGCTGTGAAACGTATTTTTCGGTATCTTAAGGGTTCAGCTGATGTGGGTCTCATTTATGGAGGAAAAGGAGACAGTTTTGTTGCTGGGTATTCAGACTCAGATACTAATAAGCAAATGATTTGATCACCAAGAAATGTGGCCAGAACGAAATGGAAAGCCAACACAGACCCAAATATCAAGAAATAGATTATCATCATAAAAACAAGAAAACGGCGACCAAAAATAACTTCTATATTCGTACAATCATAGATACTTGATAGCATATAACCTCCCCTTCGTTGAAAAACAACTAACTTCTATGTTCATACAATTGACCATAAAAACAATATTAAATTGTTAAAACACCTGGAACCTGACTAAAGTTACATCATTGAGTTAACGACTGATTCGTAGAGGTTAAACCACTAATATGTTGTATGATATGGCCTACCGACCTCAGCACAATTTCAAAATGTTTCTCAAGTTGTGGGTAGTTTCATAATAATTTAATACAGATACCTTGGAGGAAGAAGCTTGAGAACAACTACCGTCTCAATAATGGTGACCAAAAGAGCACCGACTCTGATCAAAGCTAGACAGTTAGCTCTCTCTTCTGGCTATCTTCAGCTCCTATCGGGGCAGTTTAAAAAGGCATAGTTGATGACCACTTTGAGTAATGGTTTTTATTGATGCATTTCACCAAACACCTAATATGCACATGTTAAATCGGAACATGTAGAAAACAGGAAGAAAATGCACTACCATAACAAACAAAAATAAAAATTGACCCTTGAAATGAAAAAAACCCTAACTGTATGGAATAAAGAGCAATGGATCGACATATTGGGGAAATCAATATGTGAATCGTTATGTGGGGAGGGAAGCTAGCGTGTCTGAGATGAAAGCAAAAATTGAATAATTAAAAGAACCCTAACCAATTATTATATGGGGAAGATAATTTGAATCACGAATAATCACGTTGGGAGCTCGAATAGTCTTCTGGGGAAGATGAATTCTGAATCATCACCTTGGGAACGTAAAATAGCAGGGAACGCTTGAAAGCGGCCAGTCTTGGGAGAGAAGCCCTAAGTTTAGCTTTGACAAGTTGTACATTGAACTTATAATTTTGTAATTAAGAGATAAAATCAATGCATTATGAGTTGTTTTTAATACTTTGACAAATATGCTTTATAAGGTAGTATAGATATATAGTCTCTTCCCTCAGTAATGGATAAATTTTTTTGTGCCCTGTTAATATAACAGGATTATCACCATATAGAAGGAAGGAAAACTCTCGTACGATTAAAATTTAGTGAATTATGGATGTTGATTTCAGTTTTCCCCTTTTTGAGATGCATATTCTTTGTATTTTGCAGTTTGCTAAAATAACAACAAAATTTTCATGTTACCAATTTTTTCTTTGATATTGCAGAGTATAGTGATGTCCATGCATATCGGCTATCTTTATCAGAGGACACAAAAGCACTAAATCAACTGGTATCTTGCTCTTCTATCATTTCATTTTATATCTTGAAATTCTGGACCTATGTTCACTAGTACTTTCTGTACATTTTATGGTTAATACCTCTAAAATAATTTCTTACATATTTTGTAGAATACTCTTGTACAAGAAGGCAAGGAGATGGTATCAGTACTCTATGCATACCGGAGTTGTGTCAAAGCACTTCCTCAGGTTTGAAGAAGAAAATTCATAAAAATAATTCCTTTTTTATGATGACATGATGTAATGCAAAAACATTTGTGGACAATTCCTAAATCCTACCAAGTAAGCTTTATGAAGTTAATCTGTCTGCATCAGAGAGAATCACATTTGTCCCAGATTCCCAGCCTAAGTTTTCATTGCTGACTTTTGGAAATTCAATAACAAATCCTTTTCTTTTCTTGTTCTATGTAAATATCATTTACACAATATTTTATTTTCCCAGACATTCCGCAATTTAGCAGAGTGGAAGTATAAGTCTTTGTTTGTTAAGGTTGCTGATTGGTCTAGTGCTAAGTGTGCAAAAAAAAATCCCTTTTGACCTGAAGCCAGAAAAGACATGTTGTACTGTCAGCATGAAGTTACTGAAGAAGTGGAGTACATCTGGGTTACTTGGGTGGGTTGGTGCTCTTGGGCCACTGTTCTCATGGTGATTGGAACTGTTCTACATAATGTATATGTTATGTCTGCCTTATTGTCCTTCAGTTGTTAATTTATTATCATTTTTAAGTCTCATAAATGCAGTCTCAATGAACACTCATTTGAAATCAAATTACTCAGTATAATAGCCAAAATAACTGAACCACATACAGAAAAATATGGCCCTAATGGTGTTCAGAGGATGGCCAATAATGAAGAGATGGTGAGAATATTGTTAATGTCACTCTTTCCATAGAAGACTTGGGGTATCGTAGTTAGCTCCACCACCAAGGCTTAGCCATTTGTCTTCCAGGCCAGTGCCAATAATGCTTGTTAGACTAATATACGTCCTTGTCAAAGGCTCTTAATCTTTCCCGATTACTGTTCTATTCACCATCGTCTCAGCACGCCTCCGACAATGTCTCTCTCCTCCATCAAGCATCTTTACTTGAAGCTTTGAGGTTTGTAAGTTTCAACAAGGCTCTTTGACCTCCAATCTGACCACTAAAACCAAGGAACCCTTCTTCCCTGTCACATTCATTATTATAATTCTGATGTGAGTTTTTCTCAGGCTAGGTTTCATGAAAATATAAATTCACGGGTCTTAACTCCTAGCAAAGTCAGTCTGAACCTTTTCCTCCTTATCCTGACCAATGAGGTGATTACTCATGCATGAGTGCATATGAACTTCTAAAGAGTGGCTTCCAAACCGTTACTCGACAAGCCCTGCAAAGGAATCCTAAAGAACAAACTCAAATAGAGAAAGGTCATGAGTCTAGTAAGGATAGGCTTGCCAAACAAAAGAAATACAACACAGTCTAGGGCTGAAAAACAAGGGGGGGGGGGGATTTCAAATGCAGAGACAAGGCAACTGAGGATAGTGACTTCCTCTTGTAAAAATAGAATAGGCCCGAGAACCAACACCATTTGAATTATAACAACTTTCAAAGAGCCCTGTTCAGTCATGCAGTTTGTATCCTCTGACTGCCTCACCAGTCTTGCACCACCTTTTAGTGTCCTTTTTGTCTGGTTTAGGATGTTCAAAGTCTTCTTTGTTGGCACCTGGAAGTTTTGTTTCTAGATCTGATGTTTTAAAAGTTTTATAGCTATTAGGGAGTGCCAAAAATTTCAGGGGTGGGAATTGTACAATATTTGAAAACTTAGGGGAGCTTCATTCATTTTAGGGAATGGAAATGGGAATGGGATTCATTCCCCTAAATTTGTTAAGAAATGCTTGGCTCATTTCGTTATAACAAATTAGGCACCATTAATGATTTCTATTTCCATTCCCCACCCAGCCTGCCGGCCACCCCCTATCGTCTATCACCTCAACCAAGCACCCCCCTAGTGGCCGAGTGTTTGCCTTGTAGTTTTCTGTAGGTCCACCAAATTGTTTGCAATTCACGTAGTTATGGATTGTTTTTCTTTCCAAAGAGTCTAGGGTCAGTTTTGTGATTCTCTGAAAGTTCAGGGACTGACTTGGGGCATCCAAAGGCTTCAGGAGCTATTACCTAATTGCCAACTGAGTCATGTTTTTGTCCAGTTTTTCATCCAGCTAATCCGCCTGGTTTGGCCTTGCTATTTAGTTTTTTCATCAGTCAAGTTCTCTTTTCTGGTAATCTCTTTGCCTGGTTCTCTCCTGGTTCTACAACCCATTTCTGCTTGTTGTTCTAATGTTGTGTGTGCTAGCCTGCTGTGTCTTCATATATGAATTTGCTTGCTCAACTGTCTTTAGATTTTCCTGACTGTCACTATATAGTTTGTTTTGTTTGTTCCGGACTTGATTCTGCTCTTTGGAGTTGCTTGAAAACATTTTACTTTGCTTGGATTTTGTTTAGATTGGTTGATTCGGCTTCTGTTTCTTCCTCCTGTGGACCTTCCATGAGTTCCCAATTGTTTCCTCAATTTTGCTAATGCCAAATGAGTTATTTGCTGTTCCGCACTTGGGTTCTTCACATGATCCCAACATGGGAAGAAAATGAGCTTGTTCGAGTTCTGATCACATTTCTATTTTGCTTGCTTTCTTTCTGCTTTGTTTTTACTTTTCTTGGTATTTTCTGTTTGAAATTCTCTCTATTTTGATTGTCAAATTGGGGATGGTTGGTATCTATTCTTTTACTTGAGGAGTATTAGGAGCTAGAATTAGACTTACGTTAGGATTAGTATTTTGATGGGTTTTCTGACATTCATTTTCGAGGCCCACGGATCCATCTTATTTATTACATGTTCAATTTTATTCACTTAGCTGCTGTTTGTTTTTTTAAGAGGTGATAAACTCTGAAGTCTTATTTCACTTATTGATAAGAGGTGGTGTTGAAGTATGAAAGCGGAATCAATAAGACTGTTTTTGTAAACTTATAAATGGCTGAATGTGTGTAATTGTCTTTTTACCCCTAGAATATTATAATGTTGAATTTATATAAAAAGAAATCCGCTTTTACATTCATCTCAATAATCCTTTCTCTAATAACAGTTTGATTATTGACTCTAAAGTCTCAAAAATCACAATCATAATCAGTTTTTGTCAAGTCTAAATTGATTATTTCGGCTTTGCCATAATCAACATAAAGGCACATCCAAGCACCCCCTAAATTAATAAAATACTAAATAAAACATGTCCAAATATCATTTGCCACCGTTCCAGCTCCCAGAAATGGGGCTAGAATTGAACATTTGGGTTCAAATCCAGAGCCTTGAAGCTTGAATAGATACGGATCTTGTCACAATCATGAAACAACCTTTTCCAATTTGTAGTTTAATTAAAACCCCGATGCAGCTATCAAAATTTACCCTAATACTAAATGAATTTATATAAGTTTTGAAGTAAATAATTTGTTCTTTTATCTCAAAGTGAATCATATACTTTTATGATAAGGAGTGAGTGCTTTGTTAAACCCTAATTCTGAAAAAAGAAATAGTGCATTTCTTTGGGATAAACAAGAAGATCACGTTGCTTTTGCAGTCAATTCTCATGGAACTAACTACATAGGGTTCAAAGAGTCAAATGCAAGAACAATATCATCCAATTTTCCTTCAGAAATCAAAATCCCATACATTATCTATAATTACATAACTGCAAACAAAAAGTGAGAAGGGGAGAAAAATACCATCTATGAACAGAAAATAACATCTTTATTGGGAAAGAACAAGGAGGTAATGATGCAACTATAGTTGGAGACCATAACCTTCAATTTTCCATTGTGAGTTCAAAGAGCTGTTGTTTCTGCTCTGCCATTGGTAACGATTCAAGGAATGAATGGTTGGATGATCACAGTGAGTACATGAAAATTGAATCTTTATGTAGATAGATCAAATGGGGTTAAACGCTGTTTCGGGTAGAGAGAATTAAATGCAGTTACAAAGAGCAGATTATAGGAATGGTGAAAGAGGGATCAATTAGGTTAATAAGAGGACGGTAGAATGTTGGTTAGCCTCTTGTCCAATAAGAGGATGGTGAGAGGTTTGAATCTCTTATCACAAAAGATATAAATAAACAGTCTTATAAATCTAACCTCTTATCCGGTAAGACATAAATGGTCAATAAGAGGTATTTTCCAAAAAACAAACAGCACCTTAGACCTTAGTAATATATTACACTTTTATCATAACACATTCATAGCGGCATTTACAAGTAATTTAAGTTCATCAATGTATCAGCTTATTGATTTTCTTTTAAGTTGTGCTTATATTCTGTTCACTTGTTGCTCTCTGAATTTGTATATAAGTGGAATCTGTAATTAATTGCCAGCTTCCAGATTCCATGAAGCAAAGTCAGGCTGATTTGTATCTAGAAACTTATCAAGTGTTGGACTTGGAAATGAGTCGGCTTCGTGAGATACAAAGATGGCAAGCATCTGCTGCATCTAAAGTATGCGCCTTGGTTTAATCATCTTCCAGTCTTGCACTTTAATTCAACTTTTCTTCCAAGTTGTCATCTAACCACTCTTCTAACTAATGTAGTTAGCAGCGGATATGCAGCGGTTTTCGAGGCCGGAGAGACGCATCAATGGTCCCACTGTAACTCATCTCTGGTGCATTGTTGATCTCTCTTGGTTTTATTTTAATCTTTAGTTCCTTAACAGTTAAAAAATGAAAATGACTTTACCTACCTCGTTTAGCAAGTGTTTGGTGATCTATATGCGAGTTTTTTTAACCTGCTACATGATCCTTCTAGTAGTTCGTTATAAAAAGTATTAGTTGTGTTCTGATTTTCTCCCCCTCTTAGTGGAATCTAAGCAAAAGCTTATGTGGTAAATTGATACGTATATGTGACGGGTAAAACGAAGTTATATTTTATATCTTTTATATTATTCGTGTCTCATTTCTTAAACGGTATCAGCCTACAAACTTATTGGTTTAATAGGAAACATAAAAAGACTGGCATGCTTTCTTCCTTGAACTTTGAGAATAACCTCACAAAGGAACCGATTTTTCTGACCCAACAATTTGCCAAAAATACCGAGTATGATATCTGCTTTTCGAGTATGGTATAATGAACATATTTTTGTGATAGTAAAGTAAAAGAATGCGTTTTTTATATTCTGTAATCTAGTGTAAGCAGCTGTTAGCTATACTAATGTGCCTTCCAGTATTTTATGTCTAGTGCTAGCTTCTCTATCTGCTTTTGCTAGTTGAGGTGTCATTCAGCATGGTAATCTTCATCTAACATTTGTTACTTATGAGGAATTATCAATAATACATGTTCATACAGGTGTAACAAAGTTTTCTATGCTGGTGTTGATCTACTTAAAATTACTTTCTTATATTTGAAATTTGAAAGGAAACATGTCTACAATTATTGGTGTATGTGCTTTCAGTTCACATTCTATACTACCAAATGTGACATAGTTGTTGGTTGATCCAAAACCATTTGTGAGCCATTCTTTTTCTTCTTATGCAGGTCCATGTTGAAGTTGCTTGATGTTTTGATTCAACTTGATCATCTGAAAAATGCAAAAGCTAGTATACCTAATGATTTCTCGTGGTATAAAAGGTATGCTTGGGGTTTATCATGCTGTCCCATCTGGTTGTCTCTATGAATATAATTGATTTTAATTGTGTTTCTATAAATATTATACTAGCCCTTCTTTTCCTTCTTTTTTGAGAAGTGTCGGTTCGAGTCCAAATGTTTATAGGCAACACTTATTCAACAACTTCCAAGTTTGACATATGACCTAAATGGCCGCTTTTTTTTCTTAATTTTTCTGGGAAAAATCTGAACGGCCACTTATTTCTTTGAATTCTTGAAGTATCACTATGCAGGAAAAGGTCAAAGAATATGTCCTGATATTTTTACAATGATTATAGTTGGTCTTGATAAATTTACTATTTGCGAATGTGAATTTACATAATTTTATCAAATACAAATACAGTAATAAGGAAAGGTTCATTTGAGAAGTGGTAAGTATTTGAGAAGTAAAGAAGTGATCCTAGTCCTTCATTTGGTTGACATTTGTGGCTTTGACTGTGAATCGCATTCCTCATATGGGTATGCTGAAGATAGAGGGGTAGTTCCATCACTTCTACAAATAGGCGGCAAACAGGTTCATATATGAACCGTGTGATTCACATATGAACTATATGTTCATATGTGAATCAGTTAATTAGTTCATATGTGAATCACACAAGTTCATATGTAAATCAGTTAATTAGTTCATATGTGAATCACAAGGGTTCATATGTGAATCACAAGGGTTCATATGTGAATCAGTTGATTAGTTCATATGTGAATCACACGGGTTCATATGTGAATCAGTTAAAATAGTTCATATATGAATCCAACGGGTTCACATATTAACCCGTTTTCCGCCTATTTGTTAAAGTTACGAAGCTACCGCCTCTATTTTTTGCATAGCTGCAAATTTTGACCAGTCAAAGCTGCAATTCTTGACCAGTCAAATCCAATACCGTATGAAGGGCTAGGATCACTTATTTACTTCTCAAATATTTATCACTTCTCAAAATAACCTATAGCTACGGTAATATTTATCTGACGGATGGTATACCAAGTGGAATAACATGAAAGTGAATGAACATGCTCATGATGCTTGTAAAGTTGTAAAGGTAACTTTAGAATTGGGGACTAGTTTATATTGCAATTTGTTACAACTAACAAGCGTCTTTAGAATCCAATCTCAGATACAAATGCACTTTTAGTGTTCCCTAAGCCAATATTTTCTGCTCTAATGCCCTGGTTCCACGTTCAGTCTCCAACAGACTCCCATAGTGATTGGAAAAAGGCTTGCATTAACTTGATTTAGAATATCTCAATTTCATAATTTGATTTGTAACTTGTCATAAACAAAGGGACAAAAAGTGCGTTGCCAATTTTATTGCTACCTTAACACGTTAACATAAATGGAAATTGCAAAACATGGTTAAGCATTAGGATTTTAAAAGTTTGTTCCAAACCCTCTACGAGGGAGATGACATGATACCTTATTGATGTGCTAGATATTGTATTCCTACAACACTAAGTGGTAACTCATGCAAGTATACATGTGTCAACACTATCGCCTTCTCAAGTAATAAAATGGTAAGACCAAGTATCGTAGATCTCAAGATGAAAGGCTAACTTCAGATGGTGAATTCGAGGAAATATTTTTTATGAGGTGTTTTATAACTACCGATGTGTAAGTAACTAAAATAGAGCTTAGGGTATGGGGGTCCGTAAAGATATTTAACCAAATAAGGTTGGCAGGATGCTATATCATAGTACTGTAGCATGTCCGACAAATAACTCGTCTTATCCAACCAATACTTCTTTAAGGTACTCTCTCGAGATTTAGATTGACACAAATCCACAGACCTAATAAGGCTAGAGTCTATATAATGGTTAAACATTTCCTTATATAAGCTAAATGGAACGAAAATGAGTCTCCTAGATTCTAAGTAGCTCTCTCGAGTCTACCTCCATATCATTCAAGTTGACGTGTGCTTGTTGGCTTATCTCTATGTCCAACACACTTATAAACAAGTAGTTAGCTTATCCATGGATGTTATTTTGCAATATATACTTGAAAGATTGGTTGGAAAGATTTGCTATTTAATTAACAACTTCCACCACCAAAAATTGATTTTTAATCTTAAGTTTACCCCACACCCAAGCTAGGTGTTTAGCCTACCATACTTGGAATGAGAAAATTAATTGCATAAAAGATAAAAAGCCTTAAAGAAAATTAAAGTACAAGAACGTAAAAGACAATAATGGAAATAGAAATAAATAAGAAAATTTAATACTTAAAACTTCATTGAACTTAGATTAAGAAAAGAAAATTTCAATGTGAAGTTAAATCTAGTTATGTAAATCCTAAATTGCTTAGAAAAAGTGTTCGCTTGATATATAACCTTATTATGGTATTTGTTTTAATGGTTACGACCGCTAGTCGCAACTGCTACCACCACCGACGGCCACCAGTAGCCATCGTTGTCCATCTCCACCTTCTCATCCACTACAACGTCCTACACCACCTCTACGGCCATTGTCGACCACCGACCACCACCATCCATCGCCATCACCACTACCATCGTCGGCCACCTCCACCTCCTTCTCCATTACAGCAACCCCTCCACCACCTCCACAACCACCGTCGGCCATCCATTACCACAGTTCATCGCCACCACAACTACCACCGTGGGCCACCTCCACCACAACTACCACCGTGGGCCACCTCCACCATAACCACCACCACCACCACCATCTTTGGCTACCGCTACCACTGCCTACTAGGCCACCACCACTACTACCTCCACCACGTCGGGCAGAACTATCTGTTCCACCACTGTCGACTACCATCACCACCACTATCCACCATCTTCACGTCCTCCACAAGGACTGTTGTCCACCAACCACTACTGCCTCTACCTATACGACCATATGACCACCACTGCCCATCGCCACCACCATTAGTAACGTTAGCCACCTCCTCCTCCACCATAACCATCATCACCACCATCGTCTACCACTATCGCTGCCCATTACCACCTCTACCTCCACCACATTGGCCACAGATAAACTTGGTAATTGTGTTGTGTGTATACCGATTACAATCAGGGATATATATAAGAGATACATTTACACTCTAGACCCTCTAATATAATTATATATATATATATATATATATATCACACTTAATTGTCTAATATTCCCCCGCAAGCTAAGGCCGGGGAGCGACCTGTAGCTTGGACCGTAATAGGAGAAACCGTTGTGAAGGTAGCGGCTTGGTAAACACGTCTGCAATCTGATCATCTGTAGATATAAACTGAACTGAATGCTTCCGTTGCGCAACCATTTCTCGAACAAAGTGAAAGTCAACTTCTACATGCTTGGTACGGGCATAAAAGACAGGATTAGCTGAAAGATACGTAGCACCAAGATTATCACACCATAAGGTAGGAACCGACTTCACAGGAACCCAGAGTTCGCGCAGTAGTGTTTGAAGCCATGCGAGCTCAGCAACAGTATCGGCTAGAGCTTTGTATTCAGACTCTGTTGATGATCGAGAGATAGTCCTTTGTTTTCGTGCAGACCATGATACTAGGTTTGAACCAAGATAGATAGCATATCCCCCAGTGRATCGACGGTCGTCAGGGCAACCAGCCCAGTCAGCATCGGAGAAGCCAGTTAGGGAGTTGTAAGCAGAATCAGTGTAGGCATGAAGGATTATGCCTGAATCATGCATGATTCGTAAACCATAGTCGGCAGTGCCTTGCAAGTAACGAAAAATTCGTTTGACTGCCGTCCAATGATTTTCAGTGGGGGACTGCATAAATTAGCAGACTTTGTTGACCGCGAAAGTAATATCCGGACGAGACAATGTCACATACTGAAGGGCACCCACAATTTGGCGGTACTTGACCGGATCAGCAAACGTAACGCTATCACCAAGAGCAAGATTAGCATTAGTGGTCATAGGAGATGAAGTCGGTTTAGCATTAGACAGGCCTGCGCGTTGCAAGAGTTCAAGGATGTATTTCCGTTGTGATAGAATCATATCATGACCCTGACTGGTCACTTCAATACCGAGAAAATAAGACAAGCGACCCATATCCTGAACAGCAAAAGATTGGCTAAGATGTTGTACCACTTTGTCAATAGCCTYCGGGTTGTTTCCTGTCAAAAGAATGTCATCAACATAGACTAGCATGTACAAAATGGTGCCCCTGTGGGAGTAAATGAACAAGGAAGGGTCCGTTTTGGAGCCCTGAAAGCCAAGAGAATGAAGGACCGTAGAAAGTCGATGAAACCACGCTCTAGGGGCCTGCTTTAATCCATATAAGGATTTGTGACGTAGGCAAACATGATCGGGTTTGTCCGGGTCAACGAACCCTGGTGGCTGTTGCAAATAAACTGTCTCGTTGAGATCACCATGTAGGAAGGCATTTTTCACATCAAGTTGCCTTAGAGACCATTTCTGTGTTGCGGCCAAAGATAGAACAATATGTATGGTGGTCGATTTGACCACGGGACTGAACGTCTCCTAATAATCAATGCCTGGTTGCTGCCGAAACCCTTTGGCTACTAGTCGTGCCTTGTAACGTTTTATTGCCCCTGTTTGGTCCCTTTTTAATTTGTATACCCACTTGCAATCAATTACGTTGGAATTTGGAACGCGTGGTACTAATGTCCAAGTACCATTCCGCATCAGCGTCGAATACTCGTCAGCCATGGCGGTATGCCACTGAGGGTACCCGTTAGCAATAGTAAAGGTGGTCGGTTCGGTGTCAGGTGAAGAATGATGGGTATGGTATGAGGAGGCATTGTAAGGTTTGGTTTGTTTGGGATTGGGGCGTAGGTTGGGTGGTCGAGTACGGGTGGGTTGTTCGGTGGTAGAGGAGGGGGGGTTAGGGGTAGGGGTAGGCTGCGGTGGTGGTTCGGTGACTATGGAACGGCGGTGATAGGTATGGATAAGGGGTGGTTGGGCCGTAGGGTGGTCATTAGGAGGGGTGGTGGTAGGTGTTGTTTCTTGTGGGACAGTTTGCACTGTAGGTGCGGTGGAGGGTGTCGGTTCTGGTGGAGCAGAATGTTCATTAGGTCCTGTGGAGGATGAAGAGGTGGGTGGGAGGTCAGATTTGGGATAGGTGGAGACATAAGGATTTGGAGTGGTTGGAGGAGATGTTTGGAAAGAAAATGATTGTTCATTAAATCGAACATGACGGGCTACGTAAAGACGATCAGACTGTGGGTCGTAACACCGATAGCCATGATGAGCGTTGCTGTAACCAAGGAACACACAAGATGTAGAGCGGAAGTCAATTTTATGTTTATTGCATGGACGGAGATGAGGGTAGCATTGGCATCCAAAAACCCGAAGAAAGGAAAAATCGGGTTTGTGTTTGAACACATGTTCAAATGGTGAGGTGTTTGAGTTGGTTCTGGATGGCATTCGATTAATAAGATAGACTGTAGTGTCAAAAGCACAATGCCAAAACCGTTGTGGAACATAGGATTGAGTAAGTAAAGTAAGACCGGTTTCAACAACATGTCGATGTCGTCGTTCAACAAAGCCATTTTGTTCGCTTGTATGGGGACATGAGAGGCGATGGGTGATGCCGAGTAGGTTTGGACATTCACCAAACAAAACATTTTCCCCAATCGGTTTGGACAGATTTCAGTTTGGTTTGAAAATGCCTTTCAACCATCGCAAGGAATCGTTTAAAAGTGGCATAAACATCAGATTTTAGTTTTAATGGAAAGATCCACATAAATCTGGAGTAATGATCAACACACAACAGAAAATAATTGTGACCATCAAAAGAAGGAACAGGAGCGGACCCCCATACATCACAGAAAACGAAATCCAAAATGTGCGAACTTTTATAAGTAGATGGTAACAAATGAAGTTTAGACGATTTGCCAACAGAACATGAATCACAAAAAGTACTAGCACACTTGTTTTGTAAAGGTAAATGATATTTAGATAACATGGACTTCAAAAGTTGT